CACGCTCTCCGCATCAGAGAGGCAGCAGGAGAACCTCGAGATCAATTGATGAGAAGCGAGTCACTCAAGTCGCGAGTTGGGCATCCATTCGTGAATGGTGATCGGAAATCTGAATGTGAATTCGATTGAGATCCGAACTCAGCCAAGTCCAGAGGGATCGCCGCTGTCGAGACGACGAGTCATCGAGTCATCATGCGGATCGCGACGCTCTTCGGCTTCACGCAGCTCAAACAGGCACCTCGCAACCAACGTCCTGCTTGCTGACCTCAGCTTCCGCTCCCCGCGAACGTTGTCGACTATCTACTGTGCATAGCCCTCTTGCTGCACCGCACGATGCATGCCGGACGATGCTGTCGCCGCTGCGATTCAGGACGTTGGCGCGTATAGTCACCCAGCGGACTCGTGAGTCGCGAGTGCCAAGACGTCGGTTCGCGCAGGACTACTCTTCAGCCTTTGACTCGGCTGTACCGATAACTCGAAGGCTCAATGGACCCTGCCTGGTGTGAAAGTGCGCGCGCCTCTCGAAGCGTAGCAGTACATACAGTGAGCGCGGCTTTCCTTCACAAGCCCGCTGTATGCCTCTACCAGAACGACTTGCAAGCACGCACTCACGACCCACGTGTGAGCACTGTCTACGGGCCGAGGCGTGCTGTCACTCAAAGGAGCCTCCTTTGTCTGATCCCAAGCACATCAGGCCCTGACTTTCACAAACAGAGTCACGAGTCTGATGAAGTGACTTTAGTGGGTGCCCAGCGCGGACTACGTCAAGTATCCTTCGGCAAGGCCTCCTATCAGCTGTGGCTCTGACCAAGCACAAGCGGGCCAGGCAGCACAGTAGTCACCAGCACAGTCGTGTCAGGGATGAGACCCTAAAGCTCGGGCCCAAGGAATGCGCAGGCTCCCTTGTTCGCGCACCCGTGTGCTTCGTGGCGAATTAGCGAGAACCCACGGCGAATGAGCAAGCTTGCCTGGCAGGAGCTTGACCATCTCGCTCCGAATGCGGGGCAGGGCGTGCGTGATGAAGAAGGGACACCCAGTCGTGCGAATTGCTGAATGTCGACAGCAAGGCACCGAGAGAGGATGGCGCGCCAAGGTATAACATGTGCCAAGACCACGCTCGACAGGGCGCCTGCTGCGCGGCCAGCACAGCTACGACAGCAGCTTGGCAATCAGCTGCCCGCGCCAAGCTTTCGACGAAAGGCGCATATCCTCTCGTGTGCAAAGACGAAAGAGCAAGACTTTTGAGCGGACTTTTGTGCGCTAATTGCTGAACTTCAGGCTTGGGCAATGAATCACGAATGTCGCAAAGCTGCTGCTAGGGTTCACAGTCTGTGGCTAGAGCGGACAAAAGAAGAGGCAAACTTCTATGCAAAGGGCGTTCGCAAAGCCCAGCGCTGGCGCTCGTTGGATTTGCCAGCTACTTACTCCTTGGCAGCCTACGTATCCGACGAGACTGGCACACTCATCACGACTTTACAATCAACAGCCCACGTGATTGCAAGTGCTATCGAGCTCTCGAGTGCTTTCAATGGTCAGCGAGTCAGCCTCCACCAGCACTCATGAATGCCCAAGATGCCATTCCTCTAAGGTCTGCATCGTACATTCGTCTAACTACACTCTTCGAGACTGACACATCCTTGATCGCGCACCTTGCTCTGCTGACGGCGAGCCGTACGATAGAAAAGGACAAAGACACCGGCAGGTTCAGGGCTCAACCAAGCACATTTTCGTCTTTGCGTTTCTTCTTTGTACCTTTTTGGAATGATCGCCAGCCTGGTGCAATGTAGTGGTGACCGGTTATGAGCTTCTGAGATCAGCTTGCCTTGCTGTACAAAAGCACCCCTTCCCCCTCCTAAGCGAGACGATCGACTCACCTTGCACCCGATGCTCTCTACCATTCTCCCACTGATCCTTTTCATCTGCTTTGCGCTTCCGTTCCGCAGCAGCAGCTTCCTTCTTGCGCTGCTCTTCCCCTTCGGTCTCATGCTGAAGTTTGATCGCCCTGATCAAGAGCACAGCCCAATCACAATCAGACCCACGGGTCGCACTGACAGCGCGCCTCTATCAGGACGAGCTACTCACTTTCTCTTTCTGAGCTCATCATCTATCATCAATTCCTTGGTCTGCTTGCGCACCCTTTCTTCAAACGAAGGCACCAAGTCGGCTAATCGAGCATCGTCCGCGGAGAGATCTCGTGGAAATTTCAAGTCCTGAAGGACCATGACTTTGGCATCGATGACCACCTCGTCCAACTTTGATCGCTGCTCTTCGTCCTGTAGCACCGTTGCTGCTTTCTTTAACATGTCGAAAGCAGTCACTGCGCGAGCTGGTACGAGACAGAGGGGCGAGAAGGGCATATTGCTCAGTCGATGCATCTTGCCAGCGCATGGTCGACTTGCTATTGAGTCTTAGTTGCTCACGATCTTTGACCTTGTCAGGATGTATCAGCAAGCTCTTCTTCCTGTAAATCTTTGTGATCTCCTTCAGATCAGCTTCAAAAGGCGCCTCGAGCACGTCGTAAGGGTTGAGCTTGAAAGAAGTCAATATCCGATCCATCTCTAATTCCTGAAAGAAGGACGTAGATTCTTGCTGGATAGATCTCTGCGGCAGCGCAGGCGGATCAGTTGTCGGAACGTCGTTCTGCAGTGTTGAAGGGCCGGCTACAGGTGCAGGTGATGGCGCCGTTGTGGCGGTGGTCGTCGCCGACTTGGCCTTCGAAGTACCAGCGGATGAGCCGGGATCTGCAGAAGTTCGTGTGCTTGTGTCCGCGATTGGAGATTGCAGGGGCGGCGCACCAGGAGGCGGGCCAGGGGGCGGACCTGGAGGAGGGCCAGGTGGTGCGGACATGGTAGACGCTGCGTGTTCAGTGGATGCGCGCTGAGGTTGGGTATCCGACGGGCAGCAGCACCAAGTGCGGCTCCCGAATAGCTGGCAAGATGCGACGACCACGCAATCGTGAGTTTCTAGTCGACAATTCTTAGGTGCGCATACTCGGACGTCAATCCTGCACTGTGACTAATGGACTTGTGTTTGGGAAGAATATGCGAGGCTTCGAGCTCGGTGGTCGCGAGAACAAGGTGTAAAATCAGAGCGCGAGCGCCAGCGCGCAAAGAGACGCGCGCTTGATTGAGATTTACATTCGAGTGATGCACCGCTGATGCTTAATTCGTGATTGCGACTGGTCTTTTAGCGCGGGGCGCGCGTGTGGAGGGCTGTTGTTGGCACCGGCTCACCAGCATCCCACCATGACCATTCAGCCCCACGCATGCGATTCGCCAGAGAGACTGCCACTTGCACACAACGAAGCCCGGCAGTGAGACTGCACTGAAAGTGCTTCTAGCCTGCAAGCCGTGTCCATTCACCTCCGATAGCACGCGCGAGCGCGCCTCGTGAGCAAGCGGTCTCGGTCCGTGTTCGAACGGAGCTCAAAGGAGCAGGGGCAGCCAGCCTTCACCTCTCACAACGCAATTGGGAATGCCGCTCGACAACGAAGCACACTCGACCAGCTCGGCTACACCGCGACGAGAGCAAGACGACTCGAGCAGCAGTGACAACGACCAGCGAATCGTGCTCACGTCGTTCAAGCGTGCTAAGCCTAACCCAACCCCCTCTTCTGCCAGGGTGCCTCAAAGCGACATTAGCGGGGCCAAGACGAGCAGCAGTGCGAACAAGCTGCCTGAATCATGTGAGCTACACTCGACTGCGAGCGATAGCTTCGGCCTTTTACTGCAGATTGACGTTCATGTCTCCGTGCGCGTCTCAGTGGCACCTATCTTTGCGCGCAAAACCCAGAATCTCCCACAGTCACGGGCATCCTACAGCTCAGGAGGGACGATGAGGCTGGCCTGGCGCTCGCCTTTGAAGCACTTCAATCGGCCTTCATGTCTCGTTGGAGCGTACGGAGAACCCTTCTCGGCTGCCATTGCTCGTGCTCGAGCACTTCAGAGCGACACTGAGCGTAGAGGCTCGCTGAAGATCGCAGCTTTCGACCTGGATGGCACCCTCGTCACACCAAAGCAAGGTGTGAGTGCCTCTAATCCCATGATTTGGCAGACCTGGGCAGATCTGAGGAACGCTCTTTCTTGCTTCCCTTTGGCAGACCTGGCCGTCGGCGACGGATGAATTCGACTACAAGTTTGTCTTCCCAAGCGTCTGCAAAAAAGTAAAGGCCGAGCACGACGCCGGGTGAGTCCCAAGGCAGCTCCATTGAGTAACAATGCTTTGCAAAAGCTTAGGCGCAAACGCGTGTACGGGGCCCAGAGCGGTCATTGTGGTCATCTCCAATCAGAAACAGACAGGCGGGAAATTTGATCCCGCAGCTCCTCCCAAGAAGGTGGTGACATGGCAAAAGAAGTTGGGTCACATAGCGGAAGCAATCGGAGCGCCAATGCTCGTCTTCGCGGCTCTAGCCGATGACTACTACCGAAAGCCTGCCCTTGGAATGTGGGAAGCGACTCTAGAGGAGTTGGAAGCGTGTGGTGGAATGAGGGATTGGGTCTGCATTGAAGCTGGGTCTACAAGAAGCTCTTTCTATGTTGGAGATGCAGCAGGGAGATCAAAAGGAAAGGGTCGTGAGGCCGACCACAACGACACGGACCGGAAGTGGGCGCTGAATGCAGGGCTGCCGTTTCACACGCCAGAGGAGTGGTTCTTGGCCAATAAGGTACGCGAGAGCGAGTCGTGCATCGGGAAGTCAACTTCTGACCCGCATGCACCTCGCTGTGTTCCCTACAGCCCGAGTCGTACGAATTGAGTGGATGGAGACCGTCTCAGGAGCATCTGGCCGAAGTCTCGGACAATGCACCTCCCTTTTATGATGACGGCAAACTCGAACTAGTCTTTTTCGTCGGACCACCGGCTTCTGGGAAGACTTCATACTATCGTCGTCACTTTGCGCCTCGTGGATACGTGCACGTGAACCAAGATACTCTCAAGACGAGAGACAAGTGCATCAAGGCTGCAGAAGCTGCACTGCAAAAAGGTCAAAGCGTCGTCATTGACAATACGAATCCCAAGAGGGCTACGCGAGAAGAGTACAAGAAAATATCGCTCTATGCATCAGCACGCGTGCGCATGATCCTCTTCGATCTGCCCAGGGACCATCTGGAACACAACAATCTCGTGAGAGCACATGCGATGCCGGATGAGAAGAGGGAGCGCATCCCAGCCATCGCTTTCAACTCATACTTCAAGAACTTGGAAAAGCCGCACGAAAGCGAGGGAGAGATCCATCACGCGCAGTGGGCTTTCGTTGGAGATGAAGAGGCCAAACGTAAGTATCAAATGTGGTACACCTGAACAAATTTGATTGTGACCGCTTTGCTCGGAGTGACTACATGGCGGGGCTAGTGGAAAGAGGACCCCTATGCCTGTTCAGACGTCGCGCGACCAGCCACGCACGCTGCGAGCTGCTTTGGTGCGCAGGAGAGGCGGCAGGATGTGATCCTCCTCCGCTGCTGCGACGTCACGGCGAGAAGCAGTAGGTGTGAAGGTGAAAGTTCCACCAAACAGGTTGCTGAGACCCATCTTGGTCAAGAGATTGTCAACCCAAGCTCCCCAGGTGCTGGGAGTAGCGGGCGTGGTGTTTGGAGCGGTGCTGGTAGATGTGGGCGAAGCAGCGGCGGAGCTCTTGTTGCCTCCTGTGGTCGAAGCCGAGGCCTTGGTGGACGTGGGCGCAGAGGCTGTACTGGTCGGCTTGGCGCTGGCAACGAAAGTGGTAGCGGTGCTCTTTACGGGCACAGATGTGGTCGGCGCGGCTTGCAGAGATGTCTTGATGAACGAAGTGACACTTTCATTGTCGTCGTCCTCGTCGTCGTCATCGTCCTCATCGCAGTCCTCGTCATCCTTTGAAGCGTCGTTAGTCGGCGCAGGAGTAGGTCCGGAAGAAGCGCTGGTGGATGTCTTGTTGGCAGCCGTGGAAGTAGCCTTGGCGGAGGTAGAGCTGGCAGAAATGAGGGGAGGGTGGCCAGCTCCGAGATCGTCGGTTGCCGCAGCTAGCTTACGCACTTCAGTGCTGATATCGCTAGTCTGACTCGGCTTGGCCGACGAAGAAACGGCGGCTACAGTTGGAAAGTCATTGTCACCAAAAGCTGCTGCACTCGCTGATGAAGCGGCGGCTTTCAGCTGAGTGTAAGCCTGCGCCGCGATGCGAGCCGTCATCTCAGCGCCAGACTCGGCGCTCGAGCGTCGCTCACCGGGCATCTGGAGAGCTGATGCCCGATCCGTGGCGCTGGGAGATGCAGCAGATGCGGCTGTGTCTTCTTCTCCAGGCATCAAGACAACGATGGTCTTCCACTCAGCACCTGGCACGTCTGTCTCGCTGGCTGCGAGGGCTTTGCCGCTGTTCGTGGGCTGTGAGCTGCTGCTTGGTGCAGATACAGTGGACAAGACCATGTCGACGGTGTTGAAAGGCTCGGCCGAGCGCTGGGGGTTCTGAGTGATAGTGGCTGTTGGTGTAGCAGCGGTTGAGGTTGGAATGAACGAAATTGGTGAAATTTTTGCGTTCGCGGTGTTGGTGACCGTGACGGTAAAGCTGTAAGAGCCGCTGATCGTTGCGTTGTCATCGTCATCAGCAATCTGCACGCGCGATTGCGTCGCAGTAGGGCTTGATGCTGCGGATTCGTCGACGGTGACCGTCACAGTCACTGTCTCTTCAGACTGTGCGACGGCACTGCGACTAGCGTTGTTGGCACTGGCGGATCCCGCACTGGTAACGATAGAGTTTGACTGGTTGCTTGCTGAGACAGTGGAGCTGGATGAGACAGCTTCGACAATCGCGCTGCTGCTGCTCGGCAGTGTTGCGCTAGAGGTAGGAGCTGCAGCAGAGCTCGACGCCAAGACTGAGGAGCTGACTGGGGATGAGCTTGAAGGCAGTTCCGAAGAGGAAGCAAGCAAAGAGGCTGCTGAAGCTGACGAGGTTGCACCTGCTGCTGCTGAGGCGGTCTGACTGACTGCTGCAGAGACAGAAGCAGGAGTGGAAGACGTCGCAACAGCGTCTAATGGAGCCGATGCAGCGTTTGAGACCGCAGGCAACAAGGTGGGTACGCTATCCTGGCTCGCAGCCAGAGCGGCCGACGTTGGAGCTGCAACACTTGATGCCGGCGCGTCGGGCGTGCTGCTGGCAGCGACGGACACAGCAGACATGCTATCTATGTCGGAGACCACACTTGCGTCCTCGGCATCTTGAGTTGGAGCCTTGGGCTCTGCAATGCTAGCATTCGCCGAGTCTGTCGCTGCTGGCACCGCTGCACTTTCGCTTGCATCGCTTGGAGAGGCAGACGCCGTGGGAGGGTCAGCTTGGTCCGACGTGTCCTCCTCTGGAGTAGCAAGAGCTGCATCAGGGACAGTCGAAGCGCTGCTCGTGGTTGGGGCGACGCTGGAAGCTCCAGAGGAGCTGTCGGTAGCTGGGACACCTGCATCGACGGCAGTACTTGGCTCCGCGCCGGACTGCTCGGTTGCCACGGCGACCGGATCAAGATCTCTTCGCTGTTGTGCGCCCACACCAAGAATGCTAGCAAACATCTTGCGTTGGGCTTCAATCCCGGCGGCTGCTTCCCATTGTGCTTGTTCAGAGGGGCCTTGAACGCTCGAAACGGCGGACTCCATTGGCAGGGGCGCTGCGACAGGAGCGGCGGTGCTGACGGCAGCCGCAGCCGGCGCAGGTGTGGATGCGGCAGCGAGTGAAGCAGAGGATATGGACGCGAGTTGAGAGAGGTACCAGGCGCCAGGGCCGGGAATCGCAGCCGAGTAAATTTGCCCTGGCAAAAGCGCGCTCGCTGTCGTGGGCGCTGCTACAGCTGCGTCGACAGGAGAAACAGTGACCGCAGGAGCATTCGTGGCTGCAGCCAGGGCTGCGGCAGAGGAGGATGAGGCTGCTTGAAGTGAGCTTTGAGACAAGTACCACGCTCCGGGCTGAGGAATCGCTTGGCTATAGATCTCTTGAGGTGTCAGGCTTTTGGTGGTGAGTGGACGAGCATCAGACGTCGGAAGGGTAGCGCCCACCATCAGCAACGCCGTCAAGACATGGCCGGAGGTGAGAGCTGTTCGACGGTGCTCGCCAGAGCGACGAGATGCGACGCCCTTGGACATGTTCGGGCAACGGTTGTGGAGGGAAGAGAGACGACCGCACAGCGGCGCTGGAAGAGAAGGAAGAGCGTGCAAACAGCTAAGGTAGCAGTGAGACGTGATAGAGGCTACCAGAGCCTGTGCGAGAAAGAAAAGTTGACCGTGGGACAAGGGGAAAGGTATCGGAGGGAGTTTGGTGGGGGTAGAAAAGTCGCCACACGGTGGCAGGCGGCATCTTATGAGACCCAAGGAGGACCCAAGACACTCACCCAAGCCGGCTTCTACACGGCCAAAGGTTCTCAATAGCTCGGCTTGGCGGAAGTGCGGCAGCGTTCGTGCGTTCGTGAGACCCGGATCTCAGTTCCCTAGCCCACAGACTCAACATCGACATTTTGCCGGCAGCTCCGGCGACTCCGCCACCGTGTCACTTCGCGCAAGACTTGCCCAGAAGGGTGCTGCGCTCACATCCGGCACATCTTCAGCGTATTCGACAGAATTCTCGAAACTGGTCGCGATAAGTGGCGCAGTTCTAGACTCGAGTCAACGTGGATGTTGCTTACCCCATTTGGATCAAGGTGCTTCTTCCTCCTCAGTGCTCGTCATCGGCTTTGTCCTCGCCTTGTTCGAGCCTGGGAGACACACGTCTTGGAATCTCCTTCTTGCCTCTTTGAACAGATGTGTCACGGTCGCGGGCGATTCGATGGTCCGTTGGATGGACTCAGGAACGAAGATGCGAGGGCGCAAAACCAG